CTCAGTACTCTGTCCCCAGTAATTGGGCAGAAGCCACCATTAGCCAGTGTTGCCGCCATCACACTAGCTGATTCACATGTTACTTCAATGGAGCATAGCTAAAAGGAAGGAAAAACTAAATTCTGAAAATTTAGGCTCATATTATTTTTAGTAGTACAGTTGACCTCTAAGATAATCTGTGTCATCTGGTATTTCATACAGATCTGAAATATTTCTTCCAAAGGGATAACCTCATGACACAGAAGGATTTAAATGTGAACAATGTTCTAGCCCCTTTAAAGTTTATCCTAATTTGCCCAGTTATTCAGTCTTTTAATGGCAGACCTAAGATAGGAAGAGCCAGCTCCTAAGCACTAAGATTTGTAGTTGCCTCATGTGATATTCATATTTGCTTAAATAGTAATGCTTTCTGTAGGATACACAAACATAATTATTATTATTATTTTTTAACATCTTTATTGGAGTATAATTGCTTTACAATGGTGTGTTAGTTTCTGCTTTATAACAGAGTGAATCAGTTATACATATACATATGTTCCCATATCTCTTCCCTCTTTGTCTCCCTCCCTCCCACCCTCCCTATCCCACCCCTCCAGACAGCCACAAAGAACCGAGCCGGTTTCCCTGTGCCATGCGGCTGCTTCCCACTGGCTATCTACCTTACAACATAATTATTTTTAACTCAACAGGGAAAAAAGAGCCAAGATTTTTAAAATAAAGCAACATTCATCAGTATTATGATAATTAGCATCTACATGAGAAACTGCTACTTTAAGAAAAAATTTACTGACATCTTGCCTGTACCAAAGCTTAGCATCCCCATACGGCAACATGCAAAGGACTAAAGGAAAAAAATCTAAGACAGTTCTAGCCTACATGCTCTGTGTGCCTAAAACCAAAATGTTACATTTTAAACCATTTATTAACATTCAAATAGTTATTTGATACTGACTATGGGTGCTAGATATACTATAATGAAATGAAAAAAGCGAAGTCCAGGTACACTGTAGGGTGAAATTTTTGCATTTCAATATAATCAAAATAATGGAAATTTTTTGATTTTTGGGAAAAACCCAAATTTACCCATAATACTAAAACAATAAATAAATGCTCTATTTTACTTTTCACTAACAGTAACCAAAACTGAGAGGAAAGTGGAAGAGAAGGAGAAGGTAGGAAGTAGGAAGAAAAAGATATGACAGTTCTCAACTTATAATTTTCCTTTCTCATACCAAGATCTTTAAGAGGCACAAAGGGGTTTGGAAATAGCAGTAGGAAACTAACTAACCGCAATGAATTTGAAAACTGATTAGAAGCCACTTTTTGACTGACTTCCACTTTTGCCTATTTATGTTAAAACCCCTTCCCTATTTCTTCAAAAATACAGAATCTACTTATTATACGGACCCACATAGCAAAGACTTATAGTACAGGTGATTTAATTATGAAAGGCTTTCTAAAAGAAGCCTTAAACTCCAATGACCAATTCCTACTTTATAATTAGTATTAATGGAAATTTTGTTTGTCATAAGGTGATACACTTTCAATTTGACAAATCGCAATTTAAGAGTACTCTCCTGGTAGCCTGACAGATGTTCAGTTAGATGCAGCCTTTCTCCAAAAGAGCAAGTAAGTTTTCTACGGCTGTCTCTTGATTTTTTTCCTGAAGTATAGGAATTTCACAGTAGATTAGTAGCACCTAAGCTATGACAGCCAAAGTTAAATACGTGTACCAAAGGAAAAGAAACATTAACATATGGAAGAAATCCATATAGGCTAGGGAAAAAATAAGGGACACTGGATAAAAAGTAAATATGACACTGTATTTCATATAACATTTTATAGATTCAAAGGAATTTCACATACATCTCATGTACTTGTCCAATGTAATGCAGGAAGTTAGGTCAAGCATATGCTACAGATAATGAAACCAGGGTTCAGTAATTGAAACTAAGTCACATGGCTAAAACTAGCCAGGTTAGACTGATTTTCTACTGATAGTCTGGATTCCCAATTCATAGTTCTTCACAATGGGCAAGTGACAAATTGTGACCTGGACTTCCATCAAAATCTACTCGTTACCAGCTTTCCTTATATATTCTTTACGATTACTAAAAGGTTACCTTAAAAAGTAAAGGCAGGCAATGTAAAGTAAAACAGAAATTAACAGTAATTAATTTGTTACTACGTAGCTTCACATTACAAACTCATCAGAAGCATCAATGGCATTAAATCTGTAAGAATGAATTGAACTGAAAATATGGGGGGAAGAGAGGGATGTCCAGGAAGGCTATCTTGAGTTCTATACCACAGAAGATTATGTAAATGGACACCTCCTCCATGAATATGGAAAGCTACTCTAACTTATTAGAAAATCCATTATGTGACATTGTAGAAATGAACTAAACAAACTGAGAAAATGCCACTTTAGAATGTTGAATATGAACCTTCTGATAAAGAAACAAGTAACTCCTTCAAACAGAATTTTAAAACTAAGAAAACAGAGCTCGGTTTATAATAAAGAGAAGCCAATTGCTGGAGCTGTACACTATTTTTCATACTTCTTAAATATAATATTTTTATAGAAAAAAACATTTCCCTGTTACATTGAGACATCACTTTTTAGGAGATACAGACACGAGACTGCCTTTAACAAGGACATTTTTTCGAAAGTCAATGGGAAATGTTATCTTCTCTCTGCCTAAAGCCAAGATTTCAGAGACATCTATATTCTGCAAAATGTGACACACCCATTTATGTACATAATTCATACAGTTAAAATAAATTACCTGGAAATAGAAGTCTAATATACCAACCATGTCTGTACCTTCTGGAAAACACTGAAAAAATAGAAAGGCAATTAAAAATATAGGCACACAGGGGAAAAAAAATGCACACAAGTAAAAGATACATGGAGATTAAATTTAAAATATACACACGTTTCATTCTAATTGAGAACAAAATAGCACACAACCTATAAAAGGGTGCAAACATGAAATAATGAAGAACAATAAATCAAAATTACACCACGTAATTATCTAGATTTCTAGATACTAGTTTAACTGGCAATGATAAACTGATTCATAATTCATGAACCAAGTTACTAGACCAGCCACTTAAAATTTAAAAATCAAGTGTAACCAGCAATAGTCAAGCATTATGCTTTTGAAAAATAGGCCAATCCTTAAGCAAAATTTGCATTACTATAACTAGTCAAATATTTGAATATTACCAAATACAAATTGCTTGAATATTAACACTTTGATAGTATTAACTCAAGAGTGTTTTGCAAAAACCTCTGCACCACAGTCATAGGTAGCTGCTTAAAAGCTATTGTTGAGTTTTATTATACTTCATGTATTTTAATAAAATTTTTTATTTAATAAATAAAAGAATAATTTGAAATAGAAACAGAATTTAAAAACCTTTTTTTCTTTTAAGTAATATCCTATTGCAAAATTTCGATCTCCACTTTCTCTTTCAGACTGAAACCTAAAAGAAAAAAAACATTTGCTCCATTTATTTACTTTCTGTAAAAACATGATTGTTCTGTAGGTTAATTTGTATAGCAAAGTGCAGTATAAAGAACACTGACCTAAGAGTCAAGGCTGCTGGGTTCCAGTCCCAGTTCTGTCAACAGGTTAGCTATGTGGCCTTGGGCAAGTCATTTAAGTAACAATTCTTTCTGCCTTAATTTTCTCAGCTGTAAAAGGACTGAAATGAACTAGGTCCTTTCTAGTCTTCATATTTTGTGAATAAAGAAGCTAATTTTTAAATTATCAAATATTCAACTGTTAAAATTTACTATTAATTACAGACTCTTCTGACTCCCCCCAAAAGTACACTAAATAGTCAATTCCAACTGAGAGAATCTATGGAAATTTCACTGAGAGAGAGAGACATGAAATGGACCTTACAGCATTTGCTGGATTAATAAATTTCTGGGGGAAGCCAAGGAAGTGGCAAATATTATACAGCATGAACAAAGTTATAAAAGACAGGACTTCATTAAAGAATGGCAAATATTCTGATGTATCTCGGAAAACAGTTTCATGGAGAAGAGTGGAGAAATACCAAACCAACAAAGGAGACTAGGACCAAATTATCAAGACTGATAAATGCTAAAAAATGTAATGGCTACTGATTACCTACAAAATGAAAGCTTGAAGGCTTTCAAACAAGTTACCTTATCAGATCTACATTTTAGAAGGATAACTCTGACATCAGTTTGGGAAAAGGGAAAAAGATAGGATGAATGATATTATTAGAAGACTACTGTAATGAGAGCTATAGGAAGCCTTAACTTAGGTAGTGATGATAGGAATGGAAGGAGAGGTATGATCAAACATGAGAGCAGTGGACAAGTCTTCCGACCTAACAGGAAAGAGGAGAAATGGGGTAAAGTTTGGTACAAAGCCTAGATTTCTAACGTAGTCTACAGAAAGGATGGCAATATCAACTGACACTGGGATCCTTAGGGCAACGAGCAGTTTAGTAAGGAAGAGAATGAGTTTTGATTTAGACAGGTTTTATCTGTGGTACATCTGAGAGCTCAACCTATAAGAGTTCAGAAGCAAGACTTCCCTGGTGGCACAGTGGTTAAGAATCCACCTACCAATGCAGGGGACATGGGTTTGAGCCCTGGTCCAGGAAGATCCCGCATGCCGCAGAGCAACTAAGCCCATGAGCCACAATTACTGAGGCTGTGCTCTAGGGCCCATGAGCCACGACTACTGAAGCCCATGTGCCTAGAGCCCGTGCTCCACAACAAGAGAAGCCACCACAGTGAGAAGCCTACGCACTGTAACAAAGAGTAGCCCCTGCTCACCGCAACTAGAGAAAGCCTGTGCGCAGCAACAAAGACCCAACACAGCCAAAAATAAATAAATTAAAAGAGTTCAGAAGGCTGCTGCTAAAAGAGGAACTGTGCGTGACACTCTTCTTATTACTGATCAGGGGTGGACAGCTCCTTCTAACTGCACATTTTAATATTTCTATGGTCGGAAAAAAAATGTTGGATATGGAAAAATTCTTGGAAATGAACTTGTCAACTTGTCATACTTAAAAAAATAATCAATATAGTATAAAGTACTAACAATTCAGCAATGATCACAGTGCCTACCACATAGTTCTGTTCATCAAACATTGTGTTCAGTACTTACTATCCAATAGATAACAGGAATACAGAAATGAATTGGAAGATACTCTATCCAGGTCTTAAAGAAGTCAGTCTAATGGTGATGACGAGGCAAAAAGAGACACAGAATCAGTTCAATAAAATATGGTAATATGAGAGCACAGAAGGAAGGTGAGATGAGATTCATAAAAAACTTCCTGGAAAAGATACTTAAGCTGATGAATAAAAGCTGGTAAGGCAGACGTGAAATACAAAGCATCACCTAGTTTAGGAATGGAAGGAGAGGTATGATCATGCCTCATCACATTTCCTTGTGATTAGATAAAGCTTAAGCATCCCAAAACTGCTTAAGCTTTATCTAATCACAAGGAAACAATCAGACCTATTCAAAATAAGGAAGGTCTACTACAGCCCATGGGCCTGATGTGGCCCATGCTTTTATAAATAAAGTTTTTTGGAACACAGCCTCATAGTGTTTATTGCTTGCTTTCCTACTGAAACAGTGGAATTGAATAGTTGCAACAGAGACCATATGGCCCCCAAGTACAAAATATTTACTATCTCGTCCCTCACAGAAAAAGTTAATTCCTGTTCTGTAAGACAAATGGTTGGTATTCTTCAAAAAAAGCCAGTTAGTAAAATTTTAAAAAGGGTCTAGGGTAGGGGGACTGTTCTATTTTAAAAAGACAAAAAAAAGACATAACAAAAGTTATGCATGACACTGATTTGTTCCTGAAAAAAATAAAGGCCATAAAAGGCATTTACAGGACAGTTGAGGACATTTATATATTGATTAATATCATATTTTAAAATTAATGTTAATGTTCTTAATAAATGTGTTGCTAGCATTGTGATTATAAAGGAGAATGTCCTTATTCTTAGCATACACATGCTGAGTAATTTAAGGGTGAAGCAGCATGAGGTCTACAACTTAATTTCAAACAGTTCTGGAAAAAAACCCCACATACATATTTATATTTACACATATGTACATGTATATGTATGTAGAGATACACACTTATTTTAAACTGTCCATCTAAAGAGAGAGGTTGAGAAAAAGCAAATGAGACACAATATTAATCAGAAAATATAAGTGAAAGATATCAGATTTTCATATTTTGTCTTTCAACTTTTCTGTAGATTTGCAAATTTCAAAATAAAAAGTCGGGGTAAAAATCAAGTTAGCCAGGCACAGAGAGATTATGAGAGGTAAGACAGTATTTATAGGCAAAGAGAAAATTGAGACAGTGCCAGTCATTTAAGGTAAACTTAGGGTCTCTTCTAATTCTATGATTTCCCACAAGAAGTTTATCAAAACTAGTTAAAGCATTTTAAGTGTCCTCCCTCAGGTAATTTAGAAATCATACATTTCTCTCTAATGACCAAATTCTAATTATTTATTCACTGAAGTATACATACATGGAGTCACAAAACAGTATTTAAAATAAAATTCTATAATCTAGATTTTTCAAATTAATTTCAAGAGATCTGACCTATCATAAAAACCTAAATCATAAATCAGACTCACGTTGCATTACTGAATCCAACATACTCATTACCAGCCATCTTATTCAAAAATTGCATTACCTATAAACCAAAATTAGAAAGTATTTTTAGTAATCAAAAAACAAATATAAAAAATGTAGCATGAAAACTGAATTCTATATTGTACTTACATAGTCAAATTTTTCAGCATTATTCACTCCTTGCTGCAAAGAAATGAGACATAAATATGTTAATATAGGGCCCCACCCCAGTTAAGCTTTAAGTGAATATAATATCAAAATTCCAAACTGCTATCATTATAATTAATATACTGCACATTAGTACTTTTAAATCTAGGAAATACTTCTAAGGTAATTCAATATTTACATAAGCTTTTTTATGTGTTCTTACATTAACACCCATATGTTGAGAATGGATCTGAATTACAAAGGGAATGCTTTATTTTAAGTATAACTTTTCCCAACCCAAAGTTACAGAAAAGTTTAAACATAAGCTCCTCAAACCCCCTTATCCTTCATAACACCACATAATCTGCTACAATGTATGTTATTTACTTAATTTCACATTTTAAAAAAACTTAAAATAAAGTTTTACCCTTAGCAAAGAATTAGGTATATATAAATTATGGTTTTCAATTAAGAACAATCTACTTATATTTCTAAAATAAACTTAAACCAGTATTAGAGTTAGAAAATGAGTTATGTTGCAAAGCTATCTTTTACAATTCTAGTATAGTATATGTAAACATTCTGGATACATTTTACTTATGTAGAGAAAGCTCTACCTTTAATATCTCACTTGTTACAACAATACTTGAACTAAAAAAAAATATATTTCATAGTCTAAAAAAATTAGCTACATTTGTATTTAGCATTATGCCAATTCAGAGTATGGAAGATGTATTGTTTCATCACTTCTATTTCTGACATGTTAGCTACTGCAAATGTCAATAGGAAAAACCTATGTAATGTAGATCAGTTCAAGTAGCCAAATGGTTTCATTTTACCTCGGCGAAGTTTACAAAGCAGTAAGTTGTAGATCTGAAATCAAACGTATTAATTGGTGATATGCACCCAAAAGAAACAATACATCTCTAATTTTTAAAACAAGTTTAAAATGAAGTAATTTGACAACTAAAATTGTAAAAATGAAAATTTTTAACTTTACCCTCAAAAACCCAAAATAATACACTTTAAAATTTTATTTGGTGGGGGGGGGGACTTGTACCAGAGTATTATTTAATTGAATAAAGCCAGGTTCATTATCCACTTTACAAGTGGATTAGGATGTGGCTGATAATCTGTGAAACCCTACAAATCAACTTATTTGAGAAAGAATGTGCAATGACATACACAATCAGTAGCTGGAAAGAACACCACACTATTTCATCAAAATCAGGCATTAACAAAGTTTAAACAAGTTAGGAATAATTTAGCTACAACCATATAGTAATCACTATCTACGTATTTTCTCTAAAGCGTCCTTTGACATATTTTTAAATTTTCTTTCTTTATAATACACCAGAAATCAAAATGTAGAAATGTAACTCCAAAGCTGTTCAATGAAAAATAATTAAAAGAAGAAATTACCAACTTCATTGAACTGTTGCAGTTGTCAAAATATTCCATAGATCCTAATGCTGTAAAATATGTAACAACATTTAAACCACAAAAACCTTTTTAACCTTTGAAAAAGCACAAAAAACAACTCTTTTGGAAAAGGATGTCAGCATTTGCATTGGGATGTCACATGGATAATTACTGGTTATACAATTAATCAATGTAAAATAAACAAGTTATATTTGAACTTTCATTCTCTGACCTAAACTGTACCCTATAAAACTAACACAAATTTTCTTTGTTTAGCTGTCATGTTTAATTTTTAAAAAACCAAAAACTGTCTCAACTCTTGACTATGGTCACATTCTTGATCTACTCTGCAGCAAACTAAATTAAAGTACAATTAGATTTTACTTCTATGCTATTTTAAAGAAACAACTGGTATTTATCAATGTCTATCATTATATAACATTTTGGGTAAGCTACCTGAAATGTCCTGGCAGATTATGTAAATAGGCAGAATAAAATATTTGAAAGACTGTGTTGACTCAAGAAAGTCTCTACTCAAAACTTGCCAATTTAAATGTAAAAGTACTTGATTAATGTTTCTTCTTATTATCTACCTAGAAAGAGCATTTAACTGAAGTCAATAAAATATATTCCCCCCTGTAATCTCTTGGAAAGATTTCACGTACCCCAGGGATATGTGGGATTTAGTAATCATTATCAGATGTCACATTATTTTAATTTTGAAAAATTTACATTATAAAGTTTATGTGCAAAGATGTTAGAAAAAAACACACATACACATACCAAATAACCTAGAGTAAATGCCCCCAGCCCCTGCACCGCCCTGCCAAAGCAAAAACACATACTGTTAAAAAAAAAAATCATCATTTCTCCAGTAGTGAGGTACAGAGGGGTGAAGGAACAGATGTTATGAAAAATTAAGCCAGGAATGGGTAGATGGGGGATGGTTACACTTTTCGGTTTATTTTGTGTATGTTTTAAATTTTTCATACAAGATTAAAGGAAAAATGTTTATTTGCTAATAATTTTGCACAGTAATTACAAAACTGTTCCTTTAGAATATTTTCTTTCTTTTTTGAAATAGTAAATGATTTTTAATTAGTTCATGTATCAGTGGATATTTTCTATTGCTAGAAGTATAAATTCTCTTACTATTCTAAATTTTTACAGATGTACAAGTTGAGAAATCCTGCTGACAATAGATGAGTAGATGGAAATAGGAAAGACTTTGTTACGGCAATGTACACAATCCTTTACACATTTATCTCATTACATACAAAGGTCACACAGTAAAATATACCCTCAAAAACTACACTTAATGCTCTCATTAACTAACAACTTGATCAGATCCTCTTTCCATTTTGTTGAAACCAAAAATCTGGAAACAACCTGGTATATAAGATTTGTTCCCAGTCACTACAGTGATTACAGTGATTCACATCCTCAATACCATGACCACAATATTTCAAAATGTTCTCTTTTGATGGTGCCCAAGATGTTTTTACAACCTGAAGCAGTGCACCACAGTAAAATTTAGGACACAAGAAGTATATACCTTTTGGAAAATGGGAGGAAACCTAGACCAAAGGCAGGTTAATTTTAAGAAAGGCACATATGGAAACAGATTTAGAAACTGATAGTCTTAAAACTATCAATGCCTCTTTATCTCTTAGAAAAATATTCCCATGCCCAGGGATATGTTTATTTCAGTTTTAAGTCACTGCACAAGTATTATTAGATATCACATTATTTTAATCTTAAAATTACAGTAATTTACATTAAGTATGGTAGGAAAACTTAAAGATAAACTGGACAAAATACAGTTACCAAAATTTCTAATCCATTTACCACATGACTTAAAAAGCAAACCATGTGGTTTGTTTGAAAAGGTTAGTAATCAGACCTTGAGATTAGAAAATTACACAAATTTATTTTTCTATAAACATATCAAGTTAAAGAATTTACATTCCTTTGAGGAAAACTTTTATCAATGAAAATTTGACAAAGAAGCACTGAGTTTTAACACTGGCTATTAAAAGAATTAATAAGTATACTAGAGTAGTTTTATAACCTGTTTATACAATATACTCATGAACTGAATTATGTATTATACATCACAACACAGGTGAAAATATCACTATTAACAGGGACATGTGCCAATAAATTTAATATTAATATGACTCATTTAAAGTCAATGCATTAATCAGTTATTTTGTAAGTAAATCACTTGATTCCATTCATAAAGTATGGAGGTGTAGAAGCAAATTGAAAATTAGAAATCATAGAGGAAAAAGGCATAGAAGAAAGAGGCAAAAAGAGGTAACTAAAAATGATTTTACAAAACATTTGGTTTAATCTCTCCAGAGAAAATGCTTTAAAGCTAAATAATACATGAGAATTAATATAAATATTACAGGTGAAAAATAATGTTTTAAATCTAGTATTTTCATAGATTAGCCCTAAAAATAAAGTAACAAAAAAGGGAATTCTGTTGACAAATTACCCGCCTTTTATTTGAGGAAAAAAACCCTCAAGCACATCAACTGATATAATCATGAAGAACTGATATAATCATAATAAGCCAATATAATCCTTTCTTATGAATGTTACCAAGTTCAAGGCATCATCCATTGCTCCCCAGAGCCACAAACTGCCTTAAAAATGTGGCTTATAAGCATGTGTAACAGGTGATTGCTAACATGACAAAACTGAACATTACACACATATTAACTAAATTTGTCTCGGTTTTTTAATGGAGCATGATTAAATTATTTTTTAAAAAAAAGAGAGGAAAAAAACCTCCAATATTTTAAATTCAAAAATACTTCTGATTAAAAAAAAATCAAGTTTTTCAAATGACAAAAACTAGAAACTACCACGAGAATAGAGACACAAACATAGAAGACAATGTGACTTTACCTTTAAAATTAAAAAGCAGAAGGGTGACAATTATAATATGTTGTCCTCATTTTTCCACTCTAGCCCTCAAGTTATCAGAAGATCTTAACTTTTAAACTGAAACTAGGTGAGATTAAAAAATTATGTAAGGATGCTGCTATTTCATCCAGAGTAACTGTGCTTTCAAATTTATTTTTACTCTTTCCTTTAAATCAGGCAACCGGATTACCATCATCAAATAAAATCAACTGCATCAAAAAGTATTCCTTTAGGTTTAGCAGCTACCACAGAGAAAGAGACAGGAAGTACAGTACCTTCATGTTTTTTTAAATTATGTGCCTTTTAAGTACAAAAAATCACATGTCTTTATGAAGGCATTTACCTATATAGTGTTTAAAATTTTAAATATTGGGGTTTTCCTACAAGTTTAGTAGTTAAGAATTTATGCAACAGGTTCCTTCTGCCCAAATTCTCCTTTTTTACACAATCTGCTAATCCTTTTGAACATCTGCTCTGCCTCTTCCCCCATTTTCCTGAGGACCACCACCAATCCTAAAAAGGAAAAAAATCAGTACTACAAAATTATGAAATGAAGTCTTACTAAAGATTCTAGTAATTTGTGTGGGGGGGGGAGGGGGAATAACATGAGGGGAATGTTTTAATAGCACCATAATAAAGTTCTGAATTTTGAAAGAAAAATATAGCCTTAAGGTCATCAGCTAAAAGCTAAAAAACAGAATTCACATCTAATAGCCATGGTAAAATGGCCACACTTTGGGTACTCAAAGCACAACCTCCTTGAGAAGAAGCCTCGTCCCTTATGGATAGCAAGCACTGACTAATGTCCAAAGAATGACTGTATACACTCACTGAAAATTAGATTGACTTTTAATCCAATAACTGGCATCTTCTGTAAAAGTTAAATTAGGAAAATAAAATTTCTGCCTTTTGGACAATATAACTATGCTAGGTAAAGACAAAATGTCATCAAGAGAAATAGCAAACAACTACATTAAAAATGGTAGAGTGAATGTGAACGAATAGCAAACAGAAAATTGGGAGACTTAGCTCAAGCCCAATTCTACTGCTGTTAGAACCTATCCAGTCTGTTTCCTCATCTTATCTATTTAAGGAGTAAGAAGGCTGAGCTTGAAAACTCCTTCAGCCATGGTTTTATTACTTCAATTTCAACTACCAATTCATCAATATTATGTTTGAATTCTTTTTTAAAAAGTCCAAGAAAAGTATTACATTCTGGGACAGTCAATTTTACACAGAGGTATGTCAAGCTTCTCCCTTCAAGATTTAGATGAACTTCATTAAAAAAAAAACAAAAAACAAACCCAAACCAAAAAAACCCCCAAAACTTGTGAAACAACTTCTAAAAATAAAACAAAAAAGGTCAAAGAAACTGACCTTAAATATGAACCATATCCCAAAGCCTCATTTCCAACTGTCAGTAAATTTACAATTTTTATAAATTTAAAAACACTGATCAAATTTGTAAATACACGATGACTTAGTTACATGTTTGCACAATTGGATGCAACCACACTTATGCTGTGTATGTGTGTTTTTTTAACTGTTTCTAAGTACTCATATTAATGTTGCTCATTGTATAGTTTATGGCCTGTGACTAAACATCATATCATGCTGTGATATGACCAGACATGCATTTCCTACATGCAGCATTTCAGTGTAGTATATTAAGCCCATGAATCATTAAACAAAAGATGTTTAACTGCATGCAGTTAAGCAAGACTTCTATTAATCATTTACACATGTCCCTTTCTTGAAAATACTATTGGTGTGCTGTTAATCTTTTTCCAGTGTAAGAGTTCTTAAACTGAGATCCATGGGTCTGTGAATTCCCTACAGTTTATATAAAATCATGGTATGTGAACATTTTTTCTGGGAAGACCCAAAAAAGGTTCAGAACCATTTTAGTGGTTTTCTCATCAAACACTAATACACACATTTTATTATCATAACTTTCCTTACCTCTAACTTACTTGTTCAAATCTGAACAATTATTAATGAGACTTTTCTCTCATCACAGTATTTACTGAATTTCATTTTAAGGGCCCATTTACTGGCGCATACCCCACGTTATACTGTAAGTTGTGCCATGACTGTGCCTAGTACATATTCATATTATTATTTTCTATAATAAACACGTAGTTTCTTTCACCTCAAACTGACAACTTTTCTCTTATGTAAAACAGTGACAACTAGATTATAGTGGGCATAGCCTAAAATTAGTTACATTAAAAAATAATACTTGTCTATAATATCTCCATCACTAGAGTTACAAGGATTAAGTGGGCCAGTGCTTATGAAGCATTTGCTCTAAAATAACAACATATATATTCTTAAGACAGTACTCTTCTATTTTAAAGGCTTTTCTCATGAATGAAGAAAAAAATTCATTGAAGTTAAGAGAGGATTTCTAGCATACAAATTAGATGAATTTTTATTAACTGGGCCAAGGGTATAATTTATATTCAAACATTCCTTGTGTAACCAGGGTATCCCATCTTCAGAAATGCATCTACAAAGGCACATAGCTATGTTTTTTTCAAGCATGGAATAGATGTGCACAGATTTACTGAAGAAAGTATATTAATGTTCCAAACACAAATGAAATATAATTGAATACCAATGAAACATAATTAGAAATTAAAAATCTAAGCAGTATCACAGAATAGAACCACTTTCAAATACTTATTTCAATACATTAGTGTTTCCAATTATTAAGGCAAACTAGACACTTAACAAAAGAAACAAAACATACCATGTAAACCAAAGAGTAGGAAAATAATATAACTTAATAACTGGAATAAGTCTTACTTAGTTATTACATGATTCAAGTAAAACAAATGAAACAAGTTGAAATGAAAATTGTGATTACATCTCATGAAAGTATAAAGGACTTGAGAACAGTCAAGGGTAAATGTACTTTGTTTTAACACAAAGTACCAGAACATTTGTCCCTACATATGCTGATGACAAACATCAAACAGTAACACGCTGTTACTTCTGTTTACATCTGTTCATTCTAGAAGAGCCAAAAAGAAGAGAAAGAAAAAAATATTAAAACTTTAAGAAGAAAAACTTCTGTGACTACTGTTCAGAAGAGACTTCTTTTTGAATTTTTGCCAGATCTTCAGGTCAAGAGTAACTGTTGGAATTTATGTCATCTGTTTTTAGTTTTGTCCTTGAAATTACATCATTTATTTTGAAATAAATAAAAATCCTAACCTTATGCCATACCATTAATTTAACACCAAAAGAAAAATTTTCACATTTCTACATAAATAAGATTCCTCTTTATGCCTTAGTATTTAAATTTTTTACTGGATTAAAAGGAAATGTCAACATTTTACCTTTATTAATGAAGTCACAACAATTGCTCCAGCATTTACCATAGGATTATGTGGTTTATCTGAAAATATAAAAGCAATAGCATTACTTTAAGTACCTGATATAATTTTCTGTGATGCACAGGTACTTCCCATGAACAAACATCTATTTTCTTTATGTAAGCCATTGATTGTTACAGTTCTTTTTGGGGGTCGGGGGTGGAGAGTGGAGGAGTGCATTAAAGTCAGTTACACATCAAACCAGTAATACACTTTTAAGAAGCTGTATAACTATACAGGCAAACAAAGATTCAGGTACAGAAAGACAGTGAACAGTGCTGTAAGAGCACATCCAAATTTCCTAACTCTGCCATTTGATCCTGGGAAAGTAACTGAACTTCACTGTGCCTCAATTTTCCCATCGGTAACCTGGGAGTAATAGCAGCACCAATACCTCAGCAAGTCATAATACTTCAATGAATTAAAAAAAATGCTTTGGCACAGCACTAAGCAAACAAATAATATTATTATTAAAAATCACCTTGGAAAAAGCATATCTAGTGTGGACCCAATTTTCCTTTTTTAAAGTATTTTAATTTTGTGTTTATGTATATACATATACATATGCAGAAAATGAAAACAGGTGATACACATAGGATAAAAAGATTACAGGGTATTTAAGTTGTATTCAGCATGCCTTCTATATTTCCTGACAATAAGGATGTATTTCTTGTATAATTACAAAATTACTTAAAATTTAAGTTCATCCAAAATCCTACCTCTTCTCCTAATTCTTACAACAAACAGAATTGCAAATCTCAGCTGATTATACTGTCATTCATAGCACAGCACAAGCGCCAAACACAAAACTCTTAGGGCACTGAAAACATTTATTTGAAAGCATAATTCCTAATCTGTTTGTGGTAGTAATTTACTTCTTTGGGAACAAGTTCTTATCTAACTTGACACATCTAGCAGAATTCATAAGTTATTGCTACATTATTAGTATCCTTGAAGTTTAAGCAAGTTACCTTCCGTGAGATGAGTCTACAGCTAAACAAGGAAATTCTTCAACTGTTGAAGAGTTACTATATGACCCAGCAATTCCACTCTCAGGTATATAACGAAGAGAAATAAAAACGTGTACACAAAAACTTGTACACAAATGTTCTCAGCAGTATTACTGATAATAGTCAAAAAGTGAAAAATAACCCACAACCCAAACATCCTGCCAAATGATGAATGGGTAAACAAAATGTGGTATTATTATCCAAACAATGGAATATTATCCAGCAATAAAAAAATGAAGTATTGACATAAGCCACAACATGAAAGCACCTTGAAAACATTATGCTTAGTAAAACAGGCCAGTCAAAAAGACCACATATAATGATTCCATTTACATAAAGACCAAATATAATGATTCTGTTTATATGAAATGTCCCAAACAGGCAAATCCATAGAGACAGAAAGTAGATTACTAGTTTCCATGGGTAGAAGAGAAATAGGTATTGACTACTAATATCTCTAATACCTAGGGTATCTTTTGGGAGTGATAAAAGTGTCCCCAAATTGTGGTCATGGTCATGGTTGTACAACTCTATGAATATACTAAAAGCCATTAAATTGTACATTTTGAATGAGTAAATTATGTAGTAGGTAAATTATATTTCAATAAAACTGTTAAAAATAATAAAAAAAAATCAATAATGACCAAAAATTGGGTAACTTAACAGTACACCATTTTCCTCAATATAAGATCAACGATATGATTAGTAGCTAGCTAGGCTTTAAATAGTGTACATTTTGGGTTACCCATGATAATGACAAGTTCTAAAAGTTAAAATAAAACAGTACAAGTATACTATCTAAATAGTACAGTCAGGATTTCACCTATTTCAAATTATGCTAAGGGAAGTCTGCTTTCTTTGAGATCACACAAAATGACAGTAATAGTTGTCATAGAAAAATACTATGCAACAAAAGGGAAGCCAAGAAACAAAAAATTTCCAGTATTATCTATGTAAAAGAAAAACCAAATGCGGACACAGAAATCAAAATATGGAAATCAGGGCTTCCCCGGTGGCGCAGTGGTTGAGCGTCCACCTGCTGATGCAGGGGACACGGGTTCGTGCCCCGGTCCAGGAAGATCCCACATGCTGCGGAGCGGCTGGGCCCGTGAGCCATGGCCGCTGAGCCTGCGTGTCCGGAGCCTGCGCTCCGCAACTGGAGAGGCCACAACAGTGAGAGGCCCGCGCACCGCAAAAGAAAAAAAAAAGGAAATCAGGCTGTGCTAAATTAGTTTATACTCGTATTTGTGTATATTCATGTATCTGTCCTTTCATTTTTTTTTTTTTTGGACGTTATCAGGTTTAGACTCTAGGGCCCTAGGAGGTAGCTAATGTGTGTATTCCAAATGGTACCACATAAACATGGGCATTTACTATTTTGTAAATCATAAATATTCAGCAAATACTACATACGCTACATTTAAGAAGATCTTCCAAGAACACTAAAGCATTTCATGGCATGACAGAGCAATTTTCAGATGTAAGCACTGCTCACTCTGACCTTGGCTTAAAAGCCAGACATCTGAACACTTGGAAATACACCAGAGATTAAAACACCAGCTTTACTGCATTATAAAACCTCAGTCTATAAGTGGAAATCTCCTTTTCCACTCTGCTCTGCCATAGTCAGAAGGAAAGAACTGAAGGGTTCAGTTTAGAATTTTTAATTTAAAAAGAATTATGACAACAGAAATAACACAAGCTAATTAATAAAGGCTACTATCTGAAGTAATGACATATATTAGCTTAGTATAATGACAAAATGGACATCTGAAATTTTGGGGCATGTTTTTAACTAGAATGCAAAAAATTGATTAATTTTAACATTTATTCTAAGGGAATAAAACAAGCAAAAAATTCTTCCATATTATACCAGAAAAAGCTTTTCAAACTAAGTATATGAACCTTACAAAGATGTGGTTCATGACTGAGGCTGATATTAAAAGAGTAACTACTATAATTTATCTATTCATTATAATTCAGATTAATGTTAATTTATCATCATAATCTTACAAAGCTAGGATAATATTAATACATTTGTTTCTTTTAATTTTATAATGCTAGGTAGACACACATGCACATACATACACAGAGTGTAGTTTCACCATAAATTACCCTTGAAATTTTCAATATAAAAAAGACCCACAAACTCTTTTCTTGCTGGGGCTAATCTAAAACCAAGACTCTAGAGCACAGAACCTATGCAGAACTCAAGAAGGAGTGGTATGGTATAGTGATGCCTTCATTTTCCCATTATTTCCCAGATTCCTGGTATTGGCTCAGGCTTGGAAAAAGTCAAAGAATATCAAGGCAAAACCTCTTGTTAAACTTTATATTCAGTTATTACAAAACAGTGCTAAATTCCTGAGTTCTTATTGTGATATTTTTTCTTATAGACTTACTGTCAATAAAATGTACATGGCAAAAAAATGTATTACTTACAATGTTAAAGTCATTTACCCCAAGCCGATTTTATTTCTTACCACTCAATTCACCAGAACCACCTAGTTTATTCAAGTTTGTATTTTTGGGCAAATAGTAATTTTTCTTGTAAAATGTTTAATCTTGTGAGAACAAAAACATTCTTTCCATATTAAATCTAGATGTCAGTGAATTTAATAAATAAGGTACTTCTGCATATGATGTCCTTATTGAAGTTGCTAGTTTACAGTAATCTCCATAAAATCAAATGTAGCATCAGGATAGAAAGATCATGGTAAAATAAATAAGAAAATGCAACTGCCCTCAAAAAAAATAGAAAGAGAAGCATAAGAAAGTATCAGTCTTGTAACTTCATTTTAAAAACTCATAAAACAATACTGAGTATAAGGCATATTTTTTATTTTTCATCCAGCAGAAAGTAAAAATACAAAAGTATATTTCTCACAACCATTACTGTAATTCCTTCACTCTTGTTTTCTTCAATTCTATTTTAACTTGTCACACAATGAGGAACCTAGCATATGCCTGAAAGATTAAAAAAACAGAAACCAATCTATAGGTTGGTGTTTAGATTTAAAACCTCTATCAGATCAAAAGTACTAACTACCTTTGTCCTCCCCTTTTCTTTTGGATTCCTGTAAAGCAATAAGACTTGTTAGTTATCCAACTATTTAACACAAGATACTTCTTTCAAATACTAAATGTTATGAAGGAGAAAAAACAAAACACCACCTCAACCAGGGCCACCATTAAAGCTTTTTATTATGGAAGTTTTCAAATATATACAATATACAAAAGTAGAAAGAAAAGAATATAAGCATGCATGTACCCATCATTTAGCTTCAATGATTACCAACATACAGTAATAATCACATGCGTCACTCCCAGCTACACTCCACTGAATTATCTTAAAGCAAATTCCAGACCCTGTGAGACTTTATAAGATACTCCCCTATAGGTGGTTATAAAGTGAAAATCTTACTTCCTGCCTCTTTTCTCTAGCCCACTTTCCAGTGGTATGAGATGCCTAAAAAACCTGTTTTTTAAAGTAGGTTAACTATCTCTATGGGTTTCACAGAAATTCCATGACAAATGAAAAAGTATCAATGCTTTTAATTTTCTTTTTCTTCGAAAAAAAAACTAGTTAGACTTACACAGGAAAATGAGGTATTTCTTCTTCCAAGTAACTTTTATATAATTCTTACCATCTTCATTTAAGAACAGTTTGTTGAACCTTAATCCACTTGGCTCTTTCCCAACATATCGATGCACATATTCTGTTCCAAGATCATTAACAGCAATGGCATATTTCAAAGGTTTTACACAGGATTGAAGGCAAAATGGAACTTTGGTATCCCCAATAGAATGCCTATTTAAAAGTAGATTTAAAAAATAATTAAGATCAACTGTGAAAAAATGTAACAATAACTGGAGCTGTTATTTACATGTTAATTCTAATTTATAACAGTTTTCCCATAATTCAACAGCAAGTTTACTTGGATATTGAAGAATAAATATAAGTATGTTTATTTTAAGAGGGATACTGCAATAAAAAGGCAAAAGCTTACAAGTACTCAGGTAATAGACTGGTTCAAAATTAGATAATAAGTAATGTAAAAAACTGCCTCTGGGGCTTCCCTAGTGGCGCAGTGGTTGAGAGTCCGCCTGCCGATGCAGGGGACACGGGTTCGTGCCCGGGTCTGGGAAGATCCCGCATGCCGCGGAGCGGCTGGGCCCGTGAGCCATGGCTGCTGAATCTGCGCGTCCGGAGCCGCAACAGGAGAGCCACAAGAGTGAGAGGCCCGCGTACCGCAAAAAAAAAAAAGAAAAAAAAGAGAAAGAAAAAATTGCCTCTGAGGGCAAGAGGGTATGGCCCTCCTTACTCCTATCTGTATTCAATCATATAAAATGAACTAGCCCTTTTAGAAATTAGTCACAGTTTTTTTTACTCATAGCTTTAATCATGGCTAAACTGTGGTTAGTTTTTAAATGAAGCTCAGTTTATTCAATACCACTCTCTGAGACCCTGTCTATAAATGCCTCGTCTTGTGAACCATATCTATTGACAATTTCAGCCCCATTAAAAGAAACAGCATCCAGTTTTATAAACCTGATAGAGCTGGCACTAACGGCAATCATTATCACCATGTAGATAAACAACAGAACAAACTAAGATGAAAATGAAATAGAGAATAGGTTTGAAAATGAAAAAACTGTGACTGGCCCCATTATAATGTAAGCTTAACAAGGGCAGTGATCTTTGTTTTATTTGCTGAAGTATCCCAGGTGCCCCAAACAATGTTCCAACACATTACAGGCACTCATTTATTCGAGTGAAATTTATTCACAGTGAAACTGGGCACTATAATAACTACCCCGGGGCAAACAGGGGGTTTAATGGAGACATCAGAGAGACACCTTACTTCTAAGTATACGATGGAATATAAATATGTATATATATATAAAAATATATATAATATTTTTCCTGTCAAATTTATGAATAACTTCTAATTCAGACCATAACTTCAATTTGGCAATCATTCTGAAACCTGACAAAAGCCTGTCTTACTACCTTTGGATTTAAAAATACCTACGTTCTAGCCCAGAGTCAAGTTTCCTATCTCTAGATAAGAAAACTGAATTAAAAGAATCATCTCTACACACAAAGTATGTTTAAGAAGAAAAAACACATGTGCAATAATTAGGTGATAATAATTTCTTCCAAATATAAAAATTTCCACTATATGATAAACCATTTCCTCCAAATACAAAAAAATAGGAATACCACTCCCTACTGGAATTTGCTCCCTAAGGATAAGCCATGTCTTCTCATGCATTTGTGTCTGTTCTTAGCACCCAATATTTAATTCAACACACAAGTGTTTAGTACATTTCACAGGCCCAGATAAGGATAAAAGCCTGTCATAATGGAGAGAACAATGGACTGGAATTTAAGAGACCCAGGTGCTAGTTTCACCTCTGCCAGTTTTATACAAACTCTGAACCTCAGATTCCTTATTATAAGAATGAATGAGCCAAACCACATGTTTTTTTTAACTGTAAATATTTGAGGAAGATAAGTAGTAAAAAATAAAAGGATTACTTACAATGAAGGCACTTAAGAGATACAAATTTTAATAAATGGGTGGAAAAGCTTTAACTGGGACCTTATCTTGAAAAATAAAATCTAAAATTATATGGCTAAATGACCTGTAGTTTTAACAAAATTTAGGATAAAATTACATCTCTGATATAAATTCATCAAGCTATATACACCTCGGAGTTGTACGTCTCATTTTATTTAAGTTATATTTTAATGAAAAGAAATAATTACCTTATTAAAAGCAAAGAAAAAACCAGAAAGATTATACCTCTGAGCTAAAGTCTTCCAATGAGTAAAAAAATATTGATTTTTCTTTTTTTGGCATAATTTTTCTGACTGATAAAACCAAATTACAACATAAGAAATCTTATGTCTGACTCGTAGCATAATAAAAAAGTTCATGCTTAAAAAAATATTTCAGAACTCTTTTTCCAAGGGCTTCTCTTAATTTACTTTTTTTTAAATTGACTTTTTAAATCAAATCATTCTCTTTGAAGTGCCCTCATATTGTTATCCTTTTTATAATTCTGCTGGATCATCAAATGTCAGTGGTTATGCCTGGAGTGTGAGTACATCCCGAAGATCACCTTCATAGACTTCATGAAATCCTGTGTCTTTTGAAAATGACTGATGGGCAAGAGACTATATTACATTATATTGCCTTAACTACCATGCTAATCATATAAGCAGCAAGAGGAACAAAGATAATGACAGGATAGGTAACCCATGTTAAGCCAAGAAAGGCGAACTAATTTTATTAGCGGTCAGTTCATTAGTGAATAATTTCATGTTCTGCCAAATCCACTTTTCCTAAGTAAATGTGTAACTGTAGTTCCTTGAACAATAAGCATTCAAGTAACAAGACTACAACTGTGAAAAAGATAGATGAAATGCCTCATAAAATTTAGTATAAGGTATTGTTTCAGTTGAGTTTTCTAACTTAAACTAAAATCTAAACTTCTTTACCTTTTTGAATTTGTATCAGGTCAGGGGGCTAATTACTATTACAGAAGAGGCTCCTCTCTACCTCATGTTCACTGTTATAAAAAATTTAAGGCTTAGAGTTGGTTTTGATGGATCTGAAATAAACTTACCTCTGTCCATCTACTGTACAAACGGACACACCCCACAAATCAGGACTGAACTTGGCCAACTGAGGAATATAATCTGCAACCTATCCAAAACAATGAAAAGAAATTAACAGATATAATACAGGCAAATAGTATTATCTTCTACCAAAAAACTGATCTCAATTTAGCTTCTACCAATGAACAGTTATTTTATAGTACTCAGTAGCTTTGTAGTCTATCTTTTATAACAATATTCATAAAAACTAAGGGCACAACAGACTTGAGGATTACAAGTGAAATCTAAGTGACTTCTCTCAGTCTCCATCACCTATTATGTTTTCCAATGCATTCTGTCTTCCTAAAACAGCACAGTCTAAAAGAGGAACTAGGATTTTATTTTATTTTTTTAAGGGAAACAGAATTTCTTTAATCAGGGTCATGCTAATAGGGTTTCATTACCTAAAACTTTCAATATGGAGAATAAATAAAATAGCGCTTATATTATGTAGAGGATTTTAAAAACTGGGAACATTTTATTTAATGTTCAAGGATATCATACCTGCAGAAATTCCCAGTTAGCTACTTTTTAATTAATTAAAAATTTAAAAGCCATCTCAATCATTTGAAAATCAAAAAGAACTCTTAAGCTTAGATTTCTTTTTAGCCAAAATAACAATTAAGTTGACTATTTGAAATATTTTAAAAGCACTTACTCCAGTGGCTTCACTTAAATTTCTTAATTAGCAAAACACAAAACTACACAATTTTACTCTCTACCTCAAGTTTAGTTGAATTTATTAAGTGACAGGCTTAGGAAAATATTCACATCAAAAACGTTACCTTTCCTCCAGACTGCTTTTTAGCACTCTCATATAACTCATCAATGTGTGAAGTAAAAGACATAAAGTCAGGAATGACAAACTTTCTTCTAAAGGCTTGTGTCAACAAAACAATGTTGCTTTGAACACATCTGTGGAATATGAGAAAAAAATTAATAGACTGGGTACCTTTCAAATATTAGTACTTGCTAATAATAACAATATTAATGAGGAGAATATTCAAACAATAAAGAAATTCAACATTTTAAACAAATAACTAAATTCTATAAATTATACTCTTTCAACATTATTTTCTTTCCTTCAAGCAGCCTTTCATGTAGCTGCTTGTAAGCTGTTGAACAAGTTAAAGAAATAAATTAGCCTAAAAATTGTGTCAAAGATTAAAACAGCAGAGCATTCCACCAGATTAAGTACCAAGACCATCTAAAAACAAGCTTTTCAGCCTACCAGAGTTGATAAGCATTCAGCATGACATCTGGTTAACAAAAATCAGACTTTAATATATAGTTGAGATCCTGTTTATTCTTCCATGAAATAACCTCAGACATATATCCTTTAATTTCTACGTATTACTAGTATTTCACAAAAAAATAAACATTTTGTATTTTAATATATTTTTCCTAAATTACATTTTGAAAAATTTGCATTTCTAAGCTAAAAAAAAGGGAAATAATACCAACTTCGTTTAGTCAGATTTGTCTCTTATATGAAATACTTATTAAAATGCTTATAAAAATAATGTATAACTTTAAAAATTATATACAGTAGTATAATAATTTTATATTATTTGAATCACCAAAAATGTTAAATTACATTATTCTATTCACTGTAAGATGTGTATATACATTGTAGAATAAAATTGTTTCACTGTTAAAAATTATTTAAAAGATGTGGTAAACCATCTGGATAGGAGAGCATGAAATCTAATGATTTGAACCAATATTCTACTTTGTTTTAAAAAGGATTCAAGCTAGAAAATCAACTTATTAATGTAACCTTAAAGAGTTTAAAAATAGGTAACAGCCAGCCATATACTCTAAATTCATCTTCTTAAGAGGGTCGCAGAAACTTAGAATAGTTAATTGATAAAGGAAGACATTTGTAGACCTGAGCATCAAGCCATAATACTAACTTAAGACTAAGCCCATAACAGATGAAAAAGTACTAAGTTTCAAGTACTATTTATCCTGCTTAACCCTCAAAACATGAACACTCTGAGAAGATGATTTCCCCACTTCACAGATAAGAAAAATCTGTGTTTAACTTGCAAGTAAATTACATGCACTAATTATAAATGGAGAGTCAGAGAAGTAGACACTCTCGCTATTTTTTTCTTTCTTTTTTTTTTTTTAAAATGTCAATTACTCTGTCCATTGACTTTTTTTTTTTTAACATCTTTATTGGGGTATAATTGCTTTACAATGGTGTGTTAGTTTCTGCTTTATAACAGAGTGAGTCAGTTATACATATATATATGTTCCCATATCTCTTCCCTCTTTGTCTCCCTCCCTCCCACCCTCCCTATCCCACCCCTCCAGACAGCCACAAAAAACCGAGCCGGTTTCCCTGTGCCATGCGGCTGCTTCAATCCACAGTAAATCATAAATTTTTATATCTTAGTATCTTAATTCAAGTTGTGCTAAATAAAACATCAAATCAGAATTAAAAGCGAGCTATCACACTTTAACTATTAATAAAAATCCAGAATATATACTCACTTGGTCAACATAAAATTAAACACTGATTTAAAATAAAATAGGTTATTTTCAGTGATAAAGATGTGCTTCACTTACAACATGAAAAAGTTACAGTCCTAATTTCCATTATTAATCTACAGACGTAGAAATAATTGACATCCAAGAGATAACAAATATTTACTTCAATAAACTTTGATAAATTTTGACATAGTTTCAATGTTAATCTAATAAATACTTTTTGCCATTGACTTAATATTTAATATGCTCCAAACAGCAATTCAACTTGCACGTGAGTTTCAAGTAATATATGGCAAAAGACACATTTCTCAGCAGAAAGAAGTTAGGACAATTCCTGACCTTAAATCACTATATCTGTATCAAATCAAATCTACATGCCCCCTCTTTCAAGAAGTATTACATGAGAAAATATGAGGACTGCCAAACATAAATTATTAACCTTACTACTATTTAACTACTCAAAATTAAACAGCACTTTTAAAAGGAGGCTTTATCATTAACAATATTGTACAGTCAGTGAAACTGGGATTTTTTTTTTTTTGCTCTATCAGAAGGTGCTCATAAAGCTGTGCTAACAGCCTTCACTGGTGAATTACTATGGCCAACCAAGGCAATACCATTCAAAAGTGTCTAGCTGCACGCTGATGAACAAACTGTAATGTTTTTCTTGGAAGTTATTTTAATATAGATGTCATGAATCTAAGTAGAAAATCAGAAGGGATATAAAGTGACCTGAGGAGGAAGTGCTTATGCTTTTCAACAGTCACATCTTTCTCATGCTTTGTTCAGTTTTCTCATCTGTAAACTGGTAGTTATAATTTTTCTTTCCTTCTTTACTTAAATGTTTAGGGTTAGCAACTGTAATGCACATCAATGTTTTACAAAATATCTCACATATAACTTCTCATTAGTAAAATAACATAGTGGATAAGAATTTTTTAAGAAAAAGCAAATACAAAGACTACCATTCATTTCCTCCAAAACAAAAAAGATAAAAAAATTATGATCACACATAAAAATACTTCTAATATTTATACGGCTAAAAATGCATGAATAAATAAGGCATTCCTTTACAATACAAATTTTCTACTTCTATTGAGATTATTAGCATTAAAAACAATTGATTATCTAGATAGGTACAGGCAGTCTCCAACTTTGAAATAGACCATGCTCCAAAAAGTATGCATAGAATTCATCTTCCCATTCAGAAAAAATTCTACATATTAGTTGTTTCTCAGATTACCCTCAAAGGCTAAATATATTAAGCAACAATGTATTTTAGGTAAAATATCAACACGTTGACTTCAACCAAACCTTTCCACTTTCCTTTATAAATTACTTCTTTGGGAAGATGAATTCCATTGTACCCACCTGCATGGAGGTGAGATTATTTCTGGCAACACTAACTAGAAAACGTCTCATTTTTAAAACAGAGAAAAAACTTCTCTGAAGCAATCACCGTTCCAGGTGACCTGAAAAGGTTAACAGTCAGAGGTTTTTTGTTTGTCTGTTTTGTTTTGTTTTTTGCGGTACGCGGGCCTCTCAGTGTTGTCGCCTCTCCCGTTGTGGAGCACAGGCTCTGGACGCACAGGCTCAGCGGCCATGGCTCACGGGCCCAGCCGCTCCGCGGCATGTGGGATCCTCCCGGACCGGGGCACGAACCCGTGTCCCCTGCATCGGCAGGCGGACTCTCAACCACTGTGCCACCAGGGAAGCCCAACAGTCAGAGGTTTTGAATCACCTCATTCTAGGGATGAAAAGAGAAATCATATGCCCATAGACGTAAACTTTTCCACTGCTTGTTCACATATACCACTAAGCATTTGTCAAGTTGGGAACTGCCTATATTACAATCATCAATTTTTTTAAAAAATTGGGTTAGTGTTTAAAATAATGCTAATTGTTATTTTTTAATATACTTATGGGTAGAAAATTTTATGATTGTTTCCTGGCTTCATACTCAGTGTATTTAAATTACTTTCAATTTCATATTTAAACAGAGCAATATGTTTATGAAGCACAAAAGAAATTTAACCAGTACTAAAAAGGTATAAAATACTGCTTTCACTTAGGAATTCCAAAGCAATTCCTTATACCTATTATCAACAGACCTACCTACCAACTCTCTGACAACTTCATTCTCAGATATACCAAAATAACTCCCCAGAAGGCACCACAATCAAGATACTTTTCACAGAGAGTTCATGAACACTAAAAATAAAATAATCTTTACTGCAAAGGCACAGCTAACTAGAAGTGATTTCCTTCCCTTCACAAAGAAACAGGTTCTTAAGATTCAAAATTCCTAACACCAATTCCAACATGGAACTAAAATCTACACTTAATAAGGTCGGATGAGTTCACAGAATCAAGAACCTTGTGGTGAAAAGACAGAGATCTAAAATTGCCAGCAGTGCTTCACAGTATGCCAAGATACTTGGGAGGATCTCAGTTAAATACTTATACCTTCAGATGACTTAATATTCCAGGATATTCCCAGGAGACATCTAGAACAAATCATCTAGCCCCCAAAAGACAATAAAAGAAAAAAATGCATACATACAAATAAACTTTCAAGGTAGATCCTGGAATTCTTTGGATCTATTCCAACCTAAGCCTATGGTCTGGAAAAAGCCAATACCTTACAGTAGTGTTTACAGTTTTATACAAGTTTTCATTTAATTTTAGTTGTAAAATACCATTTACCTCCTTGGGATCCATGACAAACTTGCTGTCTATTAAATCATTAAGCAATCAGACTAGTAGGAACACATTAATAAAGATAAATAATAAAGATATGCAAATATAAGAAAGTCAAAATAAATATTCTCATTCAACCAAATGAAGGCATTCATGTCCAAAGTTAGCATTAAGTTTTTAAACATTATGAAAAAAACAAAAATAGCCAAAAGCCTATGTAGTAATATGTCTGAAGAGAGGAGAGAAGCAGACAACAGAGACATATAAAACTAACGAATATAGGCTGCCTGAAGCCTTCTCATTTTACGGTGTCATCTAAAACACCTTGTAGGAAAGAACTGAGACCATGCTGAGAAAGGCTGCAAGATATGCAGATGAATTAAGAGATCAATTTAAACCATGACAGGACAAAGAGTGTGCTCTATTCAAACCGAATGCAGTCTCCAGGTACTATAAATTGGAAACATCCATGGCTACGCTTCCTCAGAACAGTTTCAAAGTATATTCTTAGCCCCAATGTATTATAGAACTTTAATGTGCACCAAGTTGTTCCAAACAATTTATGCTTACAAGTCCCCTCCCCCCTTTTTTTCAGTTACACAGGAAGCACTGGCCTTCAAAGATGCAATTTTGTTTTAAAAGAAAAATCACCATATAGCATAGCAAGTGACCATTAAAGGTTTGGCAGAAATTTTTACTTTTTAAAAAGATCTTTGTCTAGCATGACACCATCTGATGTTGTTTGAAGAGTTAATCTTAACATATCCATACACTCTTTCAGCCTGGGATCAGCCGTTCGCAATCCTGTAGATTTGAGTGCCTGTTTTTAAAAAAATAAGAGTTTGTAAATATATAGTGCAAATAAGGTATATGCTTATTCCAACTACAAGTTTTTAATTCCTGTATATAAAAACTTCTACACAAGACCTCAATACGTATATGGCATTTTAGTGTCACTATTACCCACTTTCTGGACAAGTTTCTCATTGTTTCTTTCATTTTCTTTCATTGATTACCTTGAAATGAACATGATGAAAATTTGAAAATAGAAACAGTGTCAGTCAGAATTTACACGTCAGATGACCTTTAAGACTACATTTCAATATTACCATATTATTGATTCAGTATTACTGATTTTTAAAAAGTGAAGATAGAAAAATATAAAAACTTACTGTAATAAATTTATGAACAGGTATTTTCTCTTGTCCTTCTGCGATTGTATAGAATAGCAAATCTTCCAAGCTAGGTAACAGACCCTGCTTTATTTTACTAAAGGGGGAAAAAAGAAGACAAAATTAACCTTTATGTGAACATTCAAGTGGATTTTAGCTATATCCATTTAAAAAGAATCATTGAACCAGACTACAGTTATCTATTCATCAAGACCTAATATCATAATAAATGCTGATTTACCAAAATCAAACAGTATTACTGAAACCGCACTGAAAAACAAGTTTAAAAAATGATTCATTAATTAATACAGATATCCTTTAATCCCAAGTTTTAAAATCTTGTGCACTATTTCTAGTGGTGCTAATGCCTAGCCATCTGTTATGGTAATACCTTCCTGTACAGCCTAATACAATCACCCAATACTAATTATGGAGCCTAGCCAATGCTCAGGTAAGAGACAATACTTTGTTCTCTTGTTGTTATTGTTTTTTAATATGATGACTATACATATATATTGTTCAAAGTTAACCTGATTGTAAATCTGGGGGAGAGAACAATTAAGTACTGGACAGTGAAGACTAGTGCGTAAGGCCTTGAATCCTGGCTACAATACTTACTAGCTGAGTCACCTTGGATAAATTAATTAACTTTTCTGTTAATCAATTTTCTCATCTGAGAAAGGGAGATAATAGGGTCTGCCTCACAGGGTTCTTGTGAGAATCAGTTGACTTAATACATTCAATATCTTTAGAGCACTGCCTGGCAGAGAGTAAGTACTCAATCGCTGGTAGTTGTAGTTACTATTTCTAAAGTGACCTAGGCTTTTACATGTACAGATCAAATGCCACAAATCACAAAGACTGTTAGAATAAAAATTTTACCATAAAAATACATTAAAATCTAGTATAAAGTGCTATGATTAACCAAACTTTTAATCAAGAAAATTTTTTTCCTATCCGTTGAAAAGCTTTCAGGTAAACAAACTATAATGAACCTATTTAATGTCTTCTTTTCGGGGGCTCTGAAACTGAAATGAATACATTTCAATATTCTGAACATCTATGACTGTCATAAGTATTATAGTGATGTTATAAGAATTTTAGATCGAGGGCAGACAAATCCCCTCTCCATCCAGCACTATTTATTAAAATCAAAGGTAGAAATATATATGTGTGTGTATATGTATATAATGTGTATATATATAAAATATCTGGAAAGACTTTACCTGTATTTCAAGAAAGAGAGAAAATTAGAGAGTGGTCCGTATATTTCTAACTTAAAAGACAATAGAATACGGTGTTGTTTCACAGAGCATGTACATTTACATATGGACATATAAAATTTCTCCTAAAAGACACATTAATGTTGGCATTAATATCATTTATACTTGCTTTCAAAGCTGTTATACCAACTTTTAGTTCGTAAAGTCAACCCTAAAGTATAGGAATTTCATACCAATGTTTAAAAAAAAACGAACACATAGGATTATTGTAATTTAATGATATATCCCAGATATATAAATATTCCCTGAAACAATTTTGGCTCTTAAAGAACTTTTAAAAATGTATTTGGGATATTTTAATAATAAGAGTTAAAATTTATTGATCACTTTTGTTAAGTACTCTGCTGTTTTACATTCGTTCTAATTTAATCCCTCCAATGATGTCATAACAGAAGGTACCATTATCCAAAATATAGTATGGTTCCTGGCACACAGTAGAAGCTCAATTTATTCATTATTTGTTAAAAAAAATGACTAATAACTCTATCCCCATTTCACAGAGGCTCAGACAGGTCAACAAACTTCCCAAGACTGCAAAGTGGTAGAGATATAGTTAGAACCTCTGTTTCTCTGAATCCAGAGTCCAAACTATATACCACTACAGTTTTACTGGCTCTCAAACGTACTAGCTAGTTATTACTTTTATAAGGTACAATTTTTCTAGGTTTTACCCTGATCTAAAACCATTAAACAGGATTCAACAATACTGATGACTTAATATAATACATTTAAAGAAAAATTGAGCCAGCTGTCAAAAACAATCAGTGGAAAATAACATACCAATTATTTACAGAAAGTGGTTTGTCAAATAAACTTCAGATAGTGGTAGTTTATCACTTTAAACTGCAGAATAAGCTTTCTATGTATTTATCACAGCAGTAAATGGTATTTGTTTTGCCTAAAAGCTATGTTAAGTAACATAAAATATACACTTCTTTAGCTTATGGTACATAGGGCAAAAAAATTAAAATGACCATGTTTACTTCCACAGCTAGCAAAAAAAGGTAAATATTTACTTGCTTTTGGAGAAGAGACTATTTTTTATCCATAGGAGAGAGATTTAAGTCATGCCTAAAAAATATGCTCACAAAATAAATGTTCAAAATTCATTTTTTTTAAAAAAAAGTACTACCAATCTCAGCATTTAAAAGCTCAGACTCTTATTTGAGAATGAGTTCACTTCAACAGTCTGGTGAACAAATGCACAGATTCTCCCCAAACAACACACAGAAGTTATTCCAAAGACCTTTCTTGGTATTACCCCCTTTTCTTTCCCCAAATTTAATATGGTTTTGTGGCAACGCTTCATGATAATACATTTTGCTCTTAAAGCTCAAAAGCTAAAAATTATAGTTTTCAGACTATATAGTAACTAGGATATTCTTGAGAAGTATTTAAGTTTTAATGACAAAAAAGTAGACTATAACAGGCTTTCAAATTGTAATATCAACAATTGTTGATAAGCCCTCAGATTCCTTAAGGAAAAACATGAATGGTTATGACACTCAGCAACTAAAATGGGATATTTAAATCCAAAGTAAAGTCCTTGTTTCATACCTTTTTATTCCTTCCCTTTTATTCTCCCTCATTTTCTTTCTAATTTCTGCCTTTAAGATCTTTTCACTGCCATTTTGTTCCTTCTTTTACCCATTCCTTCTCCTACTTTACCCTCACAAAATACCTGCCTACAACACAGAAATGATTTCTTTAAAAAATTAGAAAAAAAAAAAATCCCATGTATTTAACTGGCATCTATAACATGTACAGCATTATAGTAGTCATTACTTACAGTCTAAAAGGGAAATAGAAGACATACATCATGAGGAATTACAAGAAAGAAACAATGGGATCCAATCACTGGAAAACTACTTCACTGTGGACTAATAAGGTAAAGTTTTAGGAGAGGTGGAATTAGAGCTAGACTTGAAAGATGGGTAGAAGCTGGAAATATGGCAACAGAAGAGGTTTCCGGCCAAGGAAACAGAATGACCACAGCAATGAAGGTAACCATTCACTGGGTATTCACAAAGAACAGCAAACAGAGCACAGTATATGTGAATTAAGGTGCCTGTTTCCACCCATGAGCTGTTAAAATACCTAATTTTCAGGGTTGAGAGAGATCTATATAAATCAACCAATAAATGAAGAGACTACCAAAAATTTACATATGGAGTTTAAATTCAGGGGCAATTTCTGCAAACATGAAAAGAGACACTGTCTTTGATTACTGATCAACCAGTTTCCCAATACCAAAGGACAATTAAAACTCCTCAGTCTGATATTCAGTTTATATTTGGCTTGGTACTATCTATTCTATCAAAATTTTCTATGTAAAAAACTGTACTATCAAATGAAAGGAGGAAAATGAACTGCAAAATGAGAAAAGGAAAAGAAATGGAAACTAACTATATTGTCTTATTGTTAAATAACGTTTCATATTACTTGACCTCTCCAAACTATAAAAGCTGGAGTAATGTCTGTCTGTCTTTCTTTTTTTTTTGTCAACCCCATATAACTCAAATGCGTAATACAGTGTAGTGTGGTAAACCTATTAGATAATCAAAAACTTTCAACTAGGTTAAAAAAAAATGATGCTCACTGATAGAATAAAAAAGAATGCTTTGGTGTTTTTACTCATGTCTTCATTTTAAAACAATGATCTTTAAAAAATACCTGGAGTTGTTTCTAAATCAGTTTATCATTTTGATTTTCAGAGTGACCTGATTCATAGAAAGTGTCCATCAACACCAGTAAATTAGCAGATTAAACCTGTGAGGTTGAAAGCTGAATTGATAGTGGCTGACCACCACTGTAAGTCTAACAAAGTGATAAATTCTGCTCAATCTCCAAATCATTTTGCCCCAAGGCTAATTATTGGGGAATTTAAAAACAAAATCTTACATCTTTTAAAGTTTTATTGTTAAAAAAGGACTTTCTGCTGTTTCATCTTATAACTTCATGTGATAAAGCAAAGTGGGTAAACTGTCCCCTATTTACAGATAAGGACAGAGTCTCAAAGTCAAGCAATATGTATGTCCAATGTCACACAACTCTTAAGTGACTGGACCAGATTTAGTCCTAGAAAGCCAGTACCTGGTTCCTAACCCCAGATTCCTCCTGCTATGCCACACTGGCTGTGCTGAGTTGTTACACTCCATTTTAGGAGGAATACCTGGAGTTTATTCAGAATAATGAAAGATGAGACTCCTTACATATTGAAGATTTCTAACCAAAATGCTAATAGGGGAATTACTTATGTTAGATGACTAAATTGTTATTCTGCCTTGTTGAAACTGTACCTTGTACAAAGCAAGGATGAGATTATATTAAATTAGGGCTGCTGTTTTGGCTGGACTTTATTTAAATTTATTCAAGAGCAAGTCAAAGTAAGAAGCACAAAAGCCAGCTTTACGTAAGGAAGTGGCCAGGCTGTCCACATCAGCTGATGGCAATTTGTCCATGTGTAGAGCTTTAGAAGTCTAACCCGGGGGACAGTCTGCCTGACTCCGATGGGAGAATGAGGACCTGGGCAGATCAAGTCCCTAAGGTCCAATTCTGTTAGTCCTTCCAACCTTGTATTCCTTCAGTCAAGTATCCGTTAACAAATCATTCTAGTTGTAAAAATACAGATGTGTGAATTCTGTTACTGCAATCACTTTGATACCACACTAGAGATGACTTCTTCAAAATAACTAAAATATATAGGTAGAAGTTAACAAAAGGCAGACCAGCTACACATAAGGAAAAACAAAACAACTCTGAAAATGGAATGGGCTGCCTTCAAAGGGACTAAATTCTCTTGTCAAGAAGTATT